ATTTCAGACTGAAGGTGCCTGACTGAGCTTTTAGAGTTCTTTTCAAGAGTGCCAAATAGGATGCAGGCTCCATAGCACTTGGGAGTGATCTACCTAATTCATACTTACCAAACAATACACAAATGGAAAACAGTCCTTCAAAATTCAGACTTCTCCAAATTTTGCAGTGCAGTTCTCTAGCCAAGTAATATGTATAAAAATGTATATACTAGGGTAAAGTGTTCATAGACATGCATATATTTTTATATATAAGCGCGCACACACACACACACACACACACACTGCATTATATTAAGGTAAATTGCTTTTCAAAATGTGAATTACGTAGGCAAAAATGTATATGTCTGGGGAAAGCTGGTGAATTTTCACATCTTTTTTAAAAAAAATCACAAGCTGATGTGAAAATGTGGAGAACTGAAGACTGGAAAAATGAGAAACTGAGAGGAACACAACTGACGGCTTTGTCCATCCCCAGTCACAGATCTGGATTTGCATTGTTCTGTTTTTCTCCCTCTACAGAAAGGCTTATTTTTCCCCTGGCCCCTTTAGATTCTTTCACAGTCTCTCTGTTGTGCATAATGACAGAAATGAACATTAATTCTGATTCACATAAACCTCCAGCACCATCTGCTGGTGAGAGAATCTGATAGGAACGGTAGGTTTCTTTCTACATGACCAGCTTATCCCTGCACAAAGTCTGCAGGGAGCACAGACAACATCAACTATTTACTGAGCATTCATTCTGGTTTGTTTAGAGGGAGGTCAGATGCTGTTTCATCAAGCCAATGTTAACCCACACCTTGAAGTGCATTTCCCCATCACTTTTCTGATCACAAAAAAGTCATATTTGGGGTGGACCTCTTGTGAAAGAGCTCCAGATCAGCTGAATGCCTAAGATTCCACCTCAAGGCTTCCCTTCATTTAGAGTTTGACCACCAGCCTCTTTTCCCCACTGACCTGCATCCCGCTGGGTCCAGCTGACCAGTGTGAGGACTACTCACCTTGGTCAGGTAGTTTGCCTTTCTCTTGAATAAACTTGAAAAGGTTCAGACTGGTTTTGCTTCCTGTGAACATGAAGCTAGCCCCTCTTGTGCCAAACTGCATGAGACGCCAGGATCTCATGGTTCACTGAAACAGCAGTTACAGGAGAGGGAGCCATTCCAGGCCAGAGCAAAGGCAGAGATTGCCTTTCCAAAGCTGTTATTTACACCATACAAGTATTACAGGGGTAATAGTGGGTGAATCTATTTCTCTCATTTTCTGATGGGCATATGGGGTGGGTGTTAGGAGAGGAGTAGGCCCCCTGGTGAGGAACACATCATGCTCTTTCTGGAGTAGTTTGTCCCAACGTTCATGGGGCATTAAACCTTTAACCCAGCAGATGGTGCTGTTGTCTGTTCTGCTCCTTTGGCTGTATCCTCAATCTGCATCACACTTTTTCGCTAACAGATGAAAGTGCTATTCTCACTTTTACAGCCTCTCAGCTTTTGCAATTTAAAAAGCATGTTTTTCAGGCTGCTTGTATAAAAGAGGCAGGATAGCTCCCACCGAACTTGAACTGCCAGTAGCTGCCTCTCCCATATAATGCCGGCTGCAGGATATTGAAGAAGGGTGCTCTGATGTAGTATCCTTAATATCCTCAGGGCCCCCGTCAGCCAGGAAGATGCAGGACATTAAAACACAGAATTGTATTTGGCAGCATCCAGTCTTCTTTGATACACTGTCCCAAACCTGCCATCCTCAGACAATGACCCTTTTCACACAGGACCCTTAGAAATGCAGAGCAAGCCTCCTTTTGCTGTCTTGGAGGTCAGCCACCTTGTATGCAAGCACTTCCTGACCAAAGGGCATCTCTCCCAACCAGCCATGAATGGTGGCAGCACCAGCCCTACTGTTAGGTATAGAGTGCAGCTGAGACATCAGGCGAAGATGGGAATGGAGGCAGATGTTGGATGATGGAGGGGTGGGGGGGTGGGGGGTAGGATGGCCATGTGTCCTACTTCACAGAGAACGGTCTTCTGTTTTCAAGCGTCATCAGGGGGCAGTCCTCTGCTTGAAGCTGTTCTCTGTTTGAGGGCTGTCCAGCCCAAGTCTGGTTTAAAGGTAAGAAAAGGGCAGCAGGAACACCTGGCCGGCAGTTAACAGCACCTGGCTAGCAGACTGAACCCACCAGTCAACTGGTACCTCCCCCATGCAAACTTTGTGCAAACTGGTATCTTTTTTGGTGATGCAAATCCTCTTTTTTAGCAATGCAACTGGCCCCCTTATCTGGCTGCAACATGGCTCAGAAGCTACCCTATTGCCCTCATATGTGTTGGTAAACACTACTCTGTTACCAGAAGTAGGATTCAAATCTGATTAGCTCTGTACATGGAATGGCAGAATGCCATCTAGGCCACCCCAGGCAGTCGTGTGTCTTGAGCCTGTCCTGAATTGTGTACTATCGAGTGCCTGAAACAAACCCACCCGTTTTGTTTCTGCAATTCCAGGCAGGCAGCCTATGTATTCCCTGGTGGGCAGTCATAGGTAGCCAGGAGGTCTACATTCAGATGGTAGTTCCCAAGTTTGCAACAAACTCTTATTCAAATTCTGTATCCAAATTTGCTTCTGGAAGGGAGGCAGCAGCTAGGAAACAACTTAATTCCCTCTGGAAAAGGGGGCCTGGGCTGCTTGAGGTGGAGCCATAGCTCTGCGGAAGAAGACCAGCTTGGCACACCAAAGCTCCTGCATTCAATCCCCATCACCCCCAGGTATGTCTTGGAAAGATTCCCTTCCTGGAACCCTAGAGAGCTGCTGCCAGTCTGTGCGGACAACACTGAGCTCAATGTACCATGAATAGTCTGACAGCTTCTTATTTCCTGTTGAACTGAGCAGGGATGGTGGGTCAGCCATCGCCTGACATTCCTCTCAGGAGCCTGCGCTGGGAAAACTGATAAAGAGAGACAAATGTGAGGGAGAAAATAGCAGCAAGGCCATAAAAATCAGCGGCTGAGATATTGGCCCACACAGGCTCCAAGAGGCCTGGCAGGAAGCCATTTCCGTCGCAGGCAGAGAATTCCATGCTGGCTGTAAAACAACATCGCTACTCAGCTGGTGCGACTCTCCCAGCCCACAGAAATATCTGGACTCTGGGAGAGCGGGTGCCTGCAACACTCTTCCTGAAGAGACAGGACACTTAGGGGGGCTGTTTGCTTTCTCCCCCACCTCAAGGTGAGAGCACTGGGACCACTGGTCCATCTGGCTCCGTATTGTCTACTATAGTGGTTGGCAGAAGTTCTCCAGAATTTCAGACCAAGGGACATTCACAGGCCTCTCTTGAGATGCTGCAGATTGAACTCAAGGCCTTTTGCATCGTGCAGAGCAGATGCTCCAACACTGAGCCCAGTCAGACTGGGTTAAAGGATACACATAGTGGAGCTACATTCTGGAACCCAGCATAGGAAGAACATAGGAAGGTGGCTTTTACCAGTTCAGATAATTGGTCCATCTGGCTCAATATTGTCTGCACTGACTGGCAGCAGCTCTCCAGGGTTTTAGGCACAGGTTCTTCCCAGCCCCCATGAGGAGATGGAACCTGGGACTTTCTGCATAGCCAAAGAATGTGTTCCACCATTGTGTAAAGATGCAGGATTTCTGGCCTTCATGCCACTTTCCTCCCCCACCCTTACACGACCCCCAACTCTCTAACAGGTGGGGCTGGGGGCTTTGGCACCCGAGGGAAAAGGAGCCACTGAACACATACCTGGTCTAGCCTACAGCAGCTGGGAAGCCCCTCCCCAGATGCAAACTCAAAAGGAGGGATAGGGATGGGGTTCACACTGTAATGTGCACCGACCTAATTCGCATTTCCTGAAGTGAAGCACAAACCGAAATACAGCTCTCCTGTGACATTCTCAGGTCTCCAACCAAAGAACGGGAAGGAAAATTCATATATTTGAGGAATTTACGCACAAAAATGCATGTACTGTATGAGGCAACTTACAAAAATGCATTCTCTTAAGAAAAAATCGCTTGCAAAGGATGCATGTATATTAGGCTGAATTGTGGACAAATTAAGAAAAATGTGCACTAAAATGCTTAAGAATTATTAAGGTGGCTTTTTAAAAAAAATCACAAAGGGATGCAGGAATGTGGCGAAACTTGGAAAAAGGAGAAAATAGGAGAAATCAGAATTGACAGATTCGCCCATCCCTAACCGAGAGTCAGGCATGAGGCGGTCTCCTTCAGCCGCTTGCCATCCTTGCTTCAATTGCAGGAGAAGACAACAAAAATCGTTTTATTGAGGTCTGGATCACATGCAACAGTATTCCAACCCAGTTGGGATCCCAAGGGCATTATTTTATGTTGAGAAGCCCTGACTCAGTAGTCTCTTTACCCAGACCAAGAAGATCTCATACCACCACATCAGTTTGTGATATTTTTTTAAAGTCCACATGAAAATGCATTAACATTTTAGTGGACATTTCTCCTGATACATATTTGAAAGCACTTATGAAAGCTTGTAGCCAATGTTAATTCTACTCAGAGTAGACCCATTGAAATTAATGTCCATCAACTAACTTCATTGGAGGGAAATACATGCATTTTCCCATTAGTGCAAATTCTCCTAATATAATGCATATTAGAGTTTCCTCTAATACAATGCTTTTTTACCATTATTTTCATGAATACATGCATTTATGGACATACTTCACAGCAGTGTATGTATTTCTTGGCTGGAGAACTGCAAAATTCAGACAGGTGTGAAGTTTGAAGGACGGTCACTATTCAGTGTGGTATTAAACAGATTTGCCTTTACATGTGAAATGAATCAAATTTCTTCCCTGTCCTCCCTGCCCTTTCCTCCTGGGTTTAGCTGTGCCCACCAATGGCATGGTGCCCCCAGCAGATATCCCCCTGAGGGAATGTGATCCTCCACAGGGCGAGGAATTTCCCCACACCTGCATTCAATGTGCAGTATTTAAAAAGGATCAGCTGCCTTGTCAGTTGAGGAGCAAGATGATTGTGAGTAGTACTTTTATTTTATATACTGCTTTTCTGATACAATCAAAAGCGGTGAAATGATGCCGATGGAAGCACTGGGGTCCCCTGCAAACAGGAAGTAGACATCATCATGGGTTGGAAGAGCAAGAGCTATGAGGAAATGCTGTTAGAAGCCTGGGAAGCCATCTTGTTGCCCTGACAGAAGCTTTGTGGCCCTAGAAGCTGCACGACAAATGAAGCTTTCCTTTTATTTTCTCTACGGTGCAGGAGACTCCCATTATTAGCACTAGAGAGGAAAGCAGTGGGGAGGGGGCTGGTTAGAGTGAGGTAAGGGAGACATTTGAGGTGTAGAGGCCTTTGGTAGGCTGCGCAGGCGGGTGCCGCAGATAAAAGTCTGAGTTTGTGTAACTTTGGGAAGCGAGGTGCGTGGCTGGGTCACACTGCAGCTGCGTAAACCATTCAAGGACAGGCACCCCTTCCAGCTATTGCTCTGGGGCTGGAGTGAGGCCGGGCAGAGCCGAACCCCCACGAGGGCAAGGGGCGTGTCATTAGGGTGGCCCTTCCTTCAAACGGGTGCGGCAGCTGCTCCTATTTCTTCACTTTGGCATCGTAAGTGCCGGCGTGCTTGTAGGCCGACACGTAGCCGCTGTTGTCCACAATGTTCTCCCGTCCGCTCTTGCCTTTGCCCTTCCCGCTCTCGTCGAAACGTTCCTTGTGGGAGCCTGTGTACTTGGACGTGTCGGTGAGCCTCTCCACCGCGCCCACAGCCTTGGCTTTCTGCCAATCACAAAAACAAGGGAGGGGGTCAGAACCATTCTTTGTTCAGCAACGACTACCATCGCCCCTACTTCGGAACATGGCCTCCACATCACCTCCACCTCCTTTACTATATTCTAGGCAATAATATGAGGAGCTGCTTTGTACCAAGTCCAACCACTGGCACATAGAGTAAAGGTAAAGGGACCCCTGACCATTAGGTCCAGTCGTGACCGACTCTGGGGTTGCGGCGCTCATCTTGCTTTACTGGCCGAGGGAGCCGGCGTACAGCTTCCAGGTCATGTGGCCAGCATGACTAAGCCGCTTCTGGCGAACCAGAGCAGCGCACGGAAACGCCATTTACCTTCCCGCCAGAGCGGTACCTATTTATCTACTTGCACTTTGACATGCTTTTGAACTGCTAGGTTGGCAGGAGCAGGGACCGAGCAACGGGAGCTCACCCCGTCGCGGGGATTCGAACCACCGACCTTCTGATCGGCAAGCTCTAGGCTCTGTGATTTAACCCACAGCACCACCCGCATCCCTGGCACATAGAGTACCACTGGCTTTACCAACAGCTCTCCAGCATTGCAGGTAGCGGTCTTCCCCAGTCTTGCAATTTGGAGGCTCCTTCAAGTGGCACATAAGAGCCCTCCTGGATCAGACCAAAGGCCTATCCAGCTCAGCGCCCTCTACACACAATGGCCAACGTTATTTTTGTAGGAAGCCCACAAGCAGGACATGAGCCCAGTAGTGCTCTGCTGGAGACTGGCCTTCAGAGGCACACTGGCTCTGATACCTGAGGGAACATAGCCATCATGATCAATAAGTCTTATTCTCAATGATTTTGTCAATCCTCCATGAGGGCTGCAGGTATTAAACCTGGGGCCTCCCATAGGAAAAAAGCAGGAGCTGTATTGGTTGGGGGTGTTTAAGGAATTCAGTTTCCATGAGTTCCAAAGCAGACTGACCTGATCCATACCTGCTGTACTATCATAAAGACTGGAACATAGTTATCCACCCTATTTTACACTTCTCTGAATTTTGTGATAAAGTTCCCAGCTCAGAAAATGAAACAAAATGCATTAAAATGTGTACAGTACTTTTCTTCTAGAAAAAAGGTGCTGGTACTGCATTCCCTTGAGTACCCCTCAGAAAAAAGCACTGGACTATACATAAATACATACAATGAGATAAAAGATTTATATACAGTGGTACCTCGGGTTACATACGCTTCAGGTTACAGACACTTCAGGTTACAGACTCCGCTAACCCAGAAATAGTACCTCGGGTTAAGAACTTTGCTTCAGGATGAGAACAGAAATCCCGCGGCGGCACAGCAGCAGCAGCGGGAAGCCCCATTAGCTAAAGTGGTACCTCAGGTTAAGAACAGTTTCAGGTTAAGAACAGACCTCCGGAACGAATTAAATACTTAGCCCGAGGTACCACTGTAAATGTACATTTTATGATAAATTGTGTATTGAAATATTATTTATACACAAAATTCCATACTGCTTTCTTTTTTGCTAGTTAATGGGATAGAAGAGGTTCATAAACGATCACTTGTGGAATTGGAAAAGGACTGATCTGTCCAGAAGTACTGAGAGTGAGTTAAGCCCTACCATACAAGAAAGCTGCAATTCACTACTAGAATGCACACTTTGCATACAGACAATTCCTGGTCCAATTCACAGAATCTCCAGGTAAGGCTGGGAAACTCCTTGGTCAGAAACCCTGGAGAGCTGCTGCTTTTCAGTGGAGTTCAGGTGGGGAACCTGCGGTCTCCAGATGTTACTAGTTTACAACACACACCATCCCAGGCCATGCTGGCTGGCGCTGATGGGAGTTGGAGTTCAGCAACACCTGGAAGGCCATCGGCTCCCCATCCCTGTCCTAGACCCAACCTGGCCTGCTTCTGGATTCCCACCAGGAGTCTGTTCTGCTTCTTCCTCCAGCATTGGCAGCAGTTACTCACAGTGACGCCCACATTAGTCGGTTCTTTGCCTGCCACCAGCTGGCAGATGGATTCATACGCTTCCTCTTTGCTTTTGTCCTTAAACCTCTTTGGGGCCAGCTCCTCCAAGGCCTTCTTGAACTCCTCATAGTTTATGACTCTGGCCGTCTTCCCTCTGGAACAGAATAGGCACAAGGGACTCAGGAGCCAAATCGCAACCACCATTGCCCCTCTGACTCATACACCCGGGGTGGGGAACCTTCTTCAGTCTGAGGGCCACATTTCCTTCTAGGCAACTTCTAAGGGGCCACAGGTCAGTGATAAGTGGGGCCAGACGCAAAAGAGGGTAGGGAATGAATACAAATTCTACCTTCGTACAGTAGGCTTGTTTCAATACACATTCACACCCCTTAACCACCTCCTTCCAGGCAACCCCGAACCATTATCAGAGTTCAAGAATACATTCCTGCCAAGCAAAAGCATGCAAGGAGGGTGTCCTGGCTCCCAGTTGTAGAAGGACAAGAACTTGCAAGTTCCTCCCATTGTTTAGCTGGGATTTGGTTCCGGGCAATTTCTACCACTCAATCTATTCCTGCTCTCTGGAGCAACAAAGCACAAGTCCGCTTCATCTTTTACATGACCTCCCTTCAGATATTTGAAGACTGCTATCATGTCTCCTCTTAATCTCCTCTTATCTGGGCTAAACATACCCAGCTCTATCCTGGGTGTCAACTTCTGGACAAGCTCTAGCTTGTCAACATCCTTCTTAAGTTGTGCCATACAGAAGTGGACATGGTACTCCAGATGTGCTGTGACCATTGCAGATTAGAGTCCACTTCATCCGATGTAGTCAGGCCAGACCAGACTGTAGTCCACAGAAGCTTATGCCATAATAAAACTGTTCGTCTTTAAGGTGCCACAAGAATCTTTGTTGCTTTTAAAGAAAGAGACTGTGTACACATTACCAGCTTAAAACACAGCTAGGTCATTCTCAATTCAGACTGAAGTTGGTTTGGAGTGTGTATGCAACTTAACATGGCTACATCTCTGAAAATCTTGATATATACCAGCTAACTAGCTAGAATAACTGAAACATTTGTTTAAAAGTCCTAGAGACTGGGTAGCTGGTGGCAACACCTTTCAGTGCTGAACGCTGACAGCTTCTGCAGCAAACTGGCAGAAATTGTCTTTTTGAGGCCTCAACCCCCAGAGAGGAAAGGTATGTTTGGAAGGACCACAACAAAGGTGCTTCCAGACCAGGCCCACTATCCTACAAGTACCAGTCTTCAATCTGATTTTCTACATGCAGGGAAATATTGGGTATGTGAGAGAGCACTCAGATATGCAATTCCTCATTTGTGGCTTTAGGTGACGCCATCCAGAAAATAGCTTTACTTATTGATTCTGTTGCCTGCATAAACCAGAGGCAGGGGAACTTTTTCAAGCTGGAAGTCTACATTCCCTCCTAGGCAACCTTTTGGGTGCCACATGCCAGTGGTGGGCAGAGCCAGAAGCAAAAGAGGGTGGAGCAATGGAGACTGATTTTACTTTTTGTACAACAGGCTTGTTTCTACACAGACTCACACACACAGTTCCCTGCCTCCATCCCCCATCCAGACAAGCACGAGTCGTCATCTGAGCTGCAGGACACATTCTAGCCAAGCAAAAGCAGTCCAGGAGGGCGCAAAGCAAGGCTGGAGAGGGCTGTGGCCTGAGGAGAGTCCTGTGAGCCAGAGAGACTTGGAGGCCACATTCAGCTTCCCCATCCCTGGTATAAGCTGTCCCTGAGTTTTGACCAGACTTAAGTTGAGAACATGCCAAGAGCTTTCCCCAAACCACTAACTGCAACCATTCCACACACCTCTGAGAAATGGGGCTTCTGGTGGTTAAGTCACACGTTAAGCTTAATGCACAGCCAGGCATCTATGTCTCAGTTTCCTTCAGAAGCTGGGCCTGCCCTGGGGTCACAAGTCTACATATTACACTTGTGCGCCACTATGACTGTTGTTTTTTTGTTAAATTAATTTATAGCTGCAGAGGGCCTTACTTGCTGTTGAGATCACTGCAAGCCCAGAAGTTAGGTCTATCACTTCTCTCCCCAACTGTGATCCCACCAATAAAAAAATTTTAAAATCCCCTTCCCGTCATTGCTACAAAGCTTTTAAAAAAATCCAGCTGGTGGCAATGGAAACTTTTAAGTAAGGCATAAGTCTCTCTGCAGGAGGGATATTGGGAAGGTGGAGGGGTCACAGCTCAAGAGGGAAAAGATATACCTGGTGGGCTGGCCCAGCTCATCTCTCTCTTTCTCTCCCCCCCCCCCACATTAAACTGTAGCTGTTGCTACTGCAGCCAAAGTGCTTTCCATTACAAGAGAGTTACACTAGCAGCAGTCAATAGCTGTTTGTTTTTTTATTTTTGCCAGGACCAAAGGCTTAATTTCTCAAACAGCAGCTGACATGGAGCAGTTCAACAGTACAAACAAAAGTGTTCCTGCCAATATTGCTGAATCAAACCGGGACAGCACCATTGAGCAATGCCTGCTCAGTCTCCCCAGAAGCACAGATGTGAAACACAACAATGCCAAACTGAAGCTGGCATTGAGCCAAAGAAGCTGTGTGAGTGTGTCTTTTTAAGCTGGTGCTTGGCACTGACACAGAAAGCTAAGCCTCTTTTTTGTTGGTTGGGCTGTTTTCTGCTAGGTTTGTAGTCTGGCTACAGAAATGGTTTTTGAACATGTGCAGAGTTTCTGTCCCTTGTCGCCAGTAATGCAAGTCATCTGGAAAATTATGTATCGGAGTAAAGAAAAAAATTCACTGCCCTTAATCAGTTGAGATCTGGTTTATCTATTTTACTTATATTTAGTAAACAGATAAACATGTGCTGTGTTATTTTTACAAGTGTGTTACAAAAATATCTCAAACATTTTTTCCAGAAGACAAAAAATAGATTAGGAAGGTATTTGGTTAAAGTTGTAAATCTAAGCATGTTACCCCTAGGGAATAAGCACCATTGAGCACAATGGGATTTCCTTCCTAGTCAACATGCATAAAATTGTGCTGTAAGTATTTGACTTGAGGGGAGCGGGGTTCAACAGGGCATAAGAAGTTGCCTTATAACAAGTTAGACTATTGGTACACCTAGCTCAGTGTTGTCTATGAATTTTGTGGGGTGGGGGGTGGTAATGCTATGGGATCTCTTCAACTTGGCAAAGCTTATATAGACACACACACAACACACACACACACGTATATCTATGCACATTCTATATAGTATGCATAGGATGTATATTTCTTTCTGAAGGTGGTTGAAATGACCACAATGGTTGTAACAGCAAATAAAATTGAAATTGACATAGCTTAGGGCCTCAGCATGTCTTAATGAGGCCTTACCTGGTAGGCATCTTTTGTGCCCTATAGTAAAACAGAAAATATGAATGGAAGTCTGGGGAAGGGCTGTAGCTCTGTGGAAGAGCATCTGCTTTGCATGCAGAAGGTCACAGGTTCAATCCCCAACATCTGAGGCAGGTATGGGAGGGAAACCTGCCTGTTAGGGTACCAAGGATCTGATTTAGTATAATGTTTCTATGAATTAGCTCATTGGGCTCTTGCTTCCAGGGTCAGGGCTTCAGAGCTGTGGCAAAGACTTGCCCACAGGTTTCAGTCCCATCCAAGTCTCCTCGGTTTTGTAAATTAAGAACCAACACAAAGCAGAACCAGAAGGAAGTGAGATGGAAGCAGGCACTTACTTCACCTTGCTGAAGACAATGTCCACATCTGTGCTGGTGACCCCTTTGCCATCGGTTACTTTACAATCCTTACACAGTTTGGCCCAGTTCTTGCCATTCATTTCTTGCCCTGTAGCTTTGGTGTCGCCGTAGATGGCAAACTTTCGGAAGCTCTCCTCCAATGAAGCCATGTCTGTGCTCTCAGCCATGATGTTCTGTAAAACACACAGGGGGCTGCTCAGATCCAAGCAACAGGCATTGTGTGTGCCATCACGTACAAATTTCCAAAAGCTCCTCTAGACATTTCCCCCTACCTAGGGATGGTGGAATCTGTCAGTTTCATTTCCCCCTCATTTATCATTTTCCCCCAAACTGGAATTCAGTTCTCCACATTTTCACAGCAACAATTTGCAATTTTTGTTAAAAGTGGGGGGGGAGTCCTTAGGAAAATTCATCAGCATTTTAGGTCACCTTTCTCCTTATACACATTTTTGCAAAGGAAATTCCCCATATATAATGCATTTTTATATCTTGCTTTCAGTAATGTATGTATTATATGAACACTTTACTCTAGTGTATGTATTATAGTACACATTACTTGACTAGAGAGGTGTATGGGGTGCTAGGGGTGGGGCAGTGCCTATGATGGGGGGATACATTGCACTCCTTTGGGAGTAGTTTGTTCACTTTTGGTCCCCATCTGCACTCAGCTCTAACCTGTGGCTCCTAAAAACTGTCAGCATGCAATAGCGGCCACACCCCAGGAAACGACTTTGACAGGCTGGCTAAACTAAGTGAGGGTAGCCAATGTATCTCAATCCCTTGGTGAGTTAGGGACTTTCTCTGCATGTGAAGACAGACTCCAGAAGATTGTATAGATGAAACCAATACTGGGTCAGACAGTTATGAAGCCAGTTTCTGCACATGCTGTAGAAGGAAGAGGGGGCAGATGGTGCTTGTCAACCTAGGAAGATAACCTTTCTAGGAGAAGGAAAATCCTGGTCCTAAGCCTCCACTTCCTTGTGGGATATCTTTGGGAGAAGAAAAGGCTAAGGACTATACCCTACACAAATCCAGAATGGAGTCTCTAATACGGTTGGATGGCACCATGTATGCCTTCTTCTGGAAACTGCTGCAGCCAAGCTGGTGCCAAACATATTGCTCTGCTTTCCTTTGAACTACATCAGTGAGGCTGAGAGGGGGGTCTTGTCATCTGGGCAGCCCAGGACCTCCATATACACTGCTCAGGCTTGTGCCCCAGGGAGGTCATTTCAGTGCTGCTAACTCAGCGGTTTGCCTTCATCCCTGGAGGCATGATCCATTGTCTCTCGAGACAGACAGATGCCAACCACTTGGCTAGAGAACTGCATTGCAAAATCTGGAGAACTGCAAATTTCCAAAGGATTGGCTGCGTTTCAGTTCACAAATTGTTTTAGAAAGTGTGAATTAGAAAAATCCACATTTAAATGCAAAGTAAATTGGATTTCTCCCTGAGCTCCATTGTTGGTCTTAGTGCACTGTTTGAACAGATTTCTTGGTTCCTGAGATAAATCAGGACATCACAGATAGAGCACTTTTCTCAAACATTCTGTAGAAGCTTCTGGCTTTTTCAGATTTATCATAAACTTTCCCCCTACTTCTGAAGTTCAGTATGCGAGCACCATTGTTGTCATAATCAAAAAAACCAGCACATGGACATTAGGAAAGTGCAGTATGTTAAGGAAAATTGCTTTGCAAAAGTTGTGTGTTGTAGGCAAAAAGGTGTCTATTAGCAGAGATCTTCACAAAAACGCTGATGAATTTTCATGAGAGATTTTTTCCCAAGTTTTTAAATTTATTTTTGCAATCATCTATGCAAATGTGGAGAACTAAACTTAAGATTAGAAAAATGAGGAAACAAGGGAAACCAAAATGGACAGATTTGCCCATGCCTAGCAAGAGCAGACCTATCTTCTCAGCAAACGCCCTGGCTTGCCCTGTGTCAATGCCAGCACTAACTGGAATTTCCCCGCACAATTATTAACCCAATCCACTGCTACTTTGGGGAAACGCTGTCCATTTCTCACGGACATTTACCCTTAGCTATCCCCTTGCTCGGGCTCCCTGCCAAGATCCACCCATGCCCGGGGCAGGCTATTAGGGCACTAGCCAGCCTGGGGGGCCTGCCAGGTCCAGGATCTTAGTTACGGCCTGACATTAAACAAAAACAGGCATGTGGGCTTGGCTGCTGGGGCGGCCACAGTTTGTGTTGCCTGGCGACGGTTACTAAGGGCGGGCTGTGCTACTTGGACGTGGTTGCTCTGGGGAGGATAGTGTGGATTAGCATATGTACTTAACTCCACACTAACGGACATAGACATGCGTGTGAACTTTTTTCCCTTTCTCTCTCTCCTTAAAATTTCTCCTCTGATGGATGAAGGTATCTCCTGGAAAGGAGCAGTGGAGCTGCAGGCCCTATCCAACAGAAGTCACAGCCCCACTTGGATGTACATGAATCTGCATGCACAGAAATATAGTGGCACCTCGAGTTAAGTACTTAATTCGTTCCGGAGGTCCGTACTTAACCTGAAACTGTTCTTAACCTGAAGCACCACTTTAGCTAATGAGGCCTCCTGCTGCTGCCGCGCCGCCGGAGCCCGATTTCTGTTCTTATCCTGAAGCAAAGTTCTTAACCTGAAGCACTATTTCTGGGTTAGCGGAGTCTGTAACCTGAAGCGTATGTAACCCGAGGTACCACTGTACACAGCAGCAGGTGTACTGGGTGCACAACTGCCCCCCCCCAAAAAGATGGGCACAAATTATGAAGGTTTGGCCATTTGGAAAACTGCAATAACATGCAGGCATATTAAACTATGGCTTTTTAAACTGTGGGAGGGGGGTTATTTCTGTTTGTTTGTAACTATGTTATGTATTTTGTGTTTTTATATTGCAAACTGCCCTGTGATCCGCGGAAAAAGGGCAGTATAGAAATTTAATAAATAATAAATTAAAGAATGATAATAATGTACAGCTGTGTACTTATCCAATTGCAGGATCCTTGACTTTGCAAATGTGGAGAACTAAACTCAGTCAGTGTACCTTGGTCAATGTGCTTTACCCCTGAGGCACACACGCGGTAACCCGTGTGAATAGCAACTCATAATTTAACTTTTTAAAATTATCTGCCGCAGCCCTCATCCAAGAAGCTTGAAGCTCAAACCTGTATGTGTTTTCCCCAAATGTGCATCATTTTATACTTACTTACATTGAACCTTACACTCCCCAAAAGGCTGGTTTGAAGGCTCCCTCTCCAGCAGAAGCTTTGTGCATGTCTTACATTTTAATGTTGTAAATTTATTTTATGTTGTAAACTGCTACATTGTATGATTGAAAGTTTTCATTTTATTCTCTGTTGTCCTTTGTAAAGGGCTTTGGCTATATACAATAAAACTGACTGACAGACTTGAGGCATGTTCTATATTAGATGCCCCTTTGAGGTTGACAGCAGCCTGTGGGCCCCACAATTTGTCTCCCTGGCATGCAGAAGTAGAGATGTTTGCACAGGTGAGCAAAGCAAACTGCAGGTTTTCTCACTTTTCACACAAAAATTGAGATGCATGCACCTAAGATTGGCTGTGACTCCCTTATTCACATAGGAGCCCTGATTGGTTGTGAGTCACAGTCGCAGCCAATCAGGGATCTTCTGCTAGACAGGGAGTCGCAGCCTATCAGGACTCCCTGGTACACGTCTCTGTGTGTTTAGGGATAAATGCTGCAGTTTGCTCTCAGAGGGCATCTGTCTACCCCCACAGTCAGAGACATAGCACACAAAGAGCTGCACTTTAGGGACACCCACTTGCCCTTCACACTTTACATGTTTACTGTGGGCAACGTCAGTTGTAGCCACAGCAAACATGATTGACACATAAATCGTGAAGCACCCAGGTAGAGGGCAGCAGCTCTTAATCCTTGTATTTATTTAATGTATTTATTTAAAACCAACCCTGCCTTTCTACAGTTGCTCAAGGTATGTATGGATTCTTTCACCATTTGGCCAACGCCTAACTAAGTCAGTCATTATGCTTAGCTTGCTAGTTGCGTCTTCTTCAGAGATCTTAGCTACACAAATACACACATACACAACTTACGTGGGCAACACAGAACCTATCTAAACAACAATCTGGTTCAGTTCAGACAAGGTATCACATCCATAGCTTGTGCTGACTGTAGTTTAGAACCTAAACCACCGTTTCTACTTCCAAAGCTACAAGAATTAAACTATGGTATAGAGCTGTTCGTCTGCTTTCATTTCACGCATTCAGTCCTGCCCAGAAGGTCCAGCAGACTCTCAAGGCATGGCAAAGGGTCAGGGATGATGGGAGTTGGTGTCTAATAATATCTGGAAAGAAAGAGGTTCCCCATCCCTGCTATACAGTTCCTGGCACACTCTGCTTCTGTACCTGGTACTACTCGAAGTGAAACCCTAAAGAAATTGCAACCTTTGGGGAAAAGGAAGTATCTGTCATAGCAAAGCCCAGCACTGATTCTTCTTCTGCATGGCTGCAAACTTAAGTGGCATCAACAGTCGGCATGACAGGGTCAGTTCAAGTTAAAGAAAGGACCCCACAGGGGCTGCAAAAGTCAAAGGTATATCAGAGCTCAACCAGTGAACATCTTAACTCCTCAGCTGGGATGCTCAAGAATTTTATCCAGTCTGCATTCTTAAGGAAATTGGACTGGCCTGCACTTCTTAGACAGAGGGTTCCTCCAAACTGGTGTTTTTTCCAGGGTGTATTTGCAACATGTCATTGATGCAGAAATAGTGCTGGCTTTATACTGGAACATCCAAACATCGTTCCTCTTTTTTAGTTGCTCTGTGAATATTCCCCAGTGTTACCACATAGTGCATTGAAGGGCCTCTCTGTTGGGCCCTTGGAACCCTTGCCAGGCGCACCCCCTCCTCAACCACACCCCTGTCTCCAGGCCACACTCCTCACTAGCCCTACTTCACGCCCTCCTTAAGTTTCTGCCTGCCTGGAATGTGTACTTGACTGCCTCTTGCATGCCTGGATGGAAGTTAGAGGTGGCTGAGTAAGTGTGTGTAAAAATTAGCCTAATGTACAAAGGTAAAGGGACGTGGATGGCACTGTGGGTTAAACCACAGAGCCTAGGGCTTGCCGATCAGAAAGTCGGCGGTTCGAATCCCCGTGACAGGGTGAGCTCCTGATGATTGGTCCCAGCTCCTGCCAACCTAGCAGTTCGAAAGCACACCCGTGCAAGTAGATAAATAGGTACCGCTCTGGCGGGAAGGTAAACGGCGTTTCCGTGTGTTGCTCTGGTTTGCCAGAAGTGGCTTAATCATGCTGGCCACATGATCCGGAAGCCATACGCCGGCACCCTCGGCCAATAAAGCGAGATGAGCGCCGCAACCCCAGAGTCGTCCACAACTGGACCTCACGGTCAGGGGTCCCTTTACCTTTACAAGGGTAAAATGCACATTCATTGCTCCACCCACATTTGCTTCTGGCCCCTCCCACCACTGGAATGGAACCTTCAGAAGGTTGCCCAGGTGAACATGTGGTCCTTGGTCTGAAAAAGATTCCCTATGCACCCTTTAACCCTTGCTGTGGTCCCAGCTGGAATCAGACCCCCGGCAACTGCTATTTGCAATAGGAAGAAAGCTCCCACTGACTGAAATAGGAGTTTTCCTCTCGTCCAAACAACAGGGGATGCAGACAGAGGGTTAAAACTCACTTCCCTCCACACTGTGGTTCCGATTTGGCTCCCTCTGATCCAACCCCACACTGGCTACTTAGTGTAAAGTGGCCATCCCCAACCTGGTGCCCTTCAGATGTTTTGGACTACAATCCTTGTCCATTGTAGGGGATTGGGGAGAAATTTGCTTTAGACTGTATTTAAAGCATACTTACCAAATCACTTCAAAGCACTACGTGAACACAGCTATCCTTCAAAATTCACACTTCTACAAATTTCGCAATGCAATTCTCCACCTATGTAATGTGTACAAAAATGCATATACTGTAGTAAACATGCATATAAATGCAAAGATCAATGAAAATAACAATCATAAAGGCATGTTAGGCAAAATTACAAACAAAAATGAGCATATTAGAATAAATTTGCACTAAAATGTTGATAAGCTGTTGTGGAAATGTGGAAAACTTGACTGGAACAATGAGAAACCAAGAAAAACATAAATCGACAAATTCACCTATCTCTCGGGGGTCTTCCCAAAGGGCTTTCGCACAGAAGATGGAGCAGCCTTGTGCACTGTTGCTTCAGAATGCAGAGCACAAACTAATGGGTGGAAATTGCAGGAAAGCATATTCCAGATAAACCTCCGAGAAAGAGCTGTCCAGCAATGGGACATGCTGCCTTGGGAGGTGATAGGCTCTCCTTTGCTGGGATCCATCCATCTCAGTGCTGTCTACACTGACTGGCAGTGGCTCTCTTTGGCTTCAGACCAGAGTCACTCCCTGTCCTACCTGGAGATGCCAGCGAATGACCCAAAGACCTTCTGCATGCAAGGTTCTATCACTGAACTACAGCCAGCTTGCCTGGTGCAGTTTTCTATTCTGCCAGTTCAGCTGAACTGCTAGAAGCAGAAGCCTAAGAAATGATATCACCAAGCCAGAACAATGCCAGCGGCACTGAAAGGAAAGCATCTCGCTGGCCGCTTTTCTGTAGGCACGTAAATCCAGACATACACAAGACCAGAGGGCTAAAGGCACGGTTGTGCATGATGCCAAAAGCACCTCTGTAAAACATCTCTCAGGCTTTTTGTGTGCATATGTGAATTCTCAACATCCAAAACAAAAATCAGAAGAGTCGCTTTTAGAAGCTGTATACCAAGTCAGACAATTTGTCCATCCCGCCCACTATTGTTTACTACTTTGTGGCAGTGGCTCTGCAGGGTCTCAAGAGCTGTTTTTAAGTATGTTTAATTCATAATTTGAACGTTTTATATTTTTTTGGTAAACCACTTAGAGGTTTTTGTACAATCAAGCATTATAGAAATGTTTTTAAATAAATAAATAAAATCCATGCAACCTGAACCTTTAACTGGAGATGCCAGGGGTTGATCCTGGGAAGCTGCTGCATGCATCCATTTGGGATTGTCACTAACGTTTAAACTGCACAGACGTTACAGTCCAAGATGGGCAAGAGGAAACCCCTAACTTGCCATTTTGTGCCTATTGGTCTGTGCTGGGATTCTCCTGGAGGTTACTGAACTAGATGAGGACCCAGATTTAATCATGCTTAAAGAAGACCCATTGATTTCGATGTGTCTGCTCTAAGCACAACCAAGTCTGGATCCAACTCTGCATTTCTAAGCAAGAATGAACACTCAAGATTCCTTACCACAGGTTAGTTATGTTTCAACGGTTAAGAGGTCCCGGGTTGCAAATTTTAAAATACATCAGCAGATGACGGGCAGAGATTCTAGAAAAGAACAGAGCAGAAGGTAGACAAAGCAATGTCAACTCACCCATGTTCTATGCAAAAAGAGATGGGGGGGGGGGGAGAATCAATTTAAGGCATCAGGTAAAGAAAAAAAAACCATCAAAAAGAAAAAAAGGCTGCAGTTCAAACACACTTTTCCAGTAATAAGTCCCACTGAACTCAGTGCAGCTTATTTGTGACATGCAAAATTATGTTATGCAAATAAATAAATTCCACTGGGGGAAAATAAACAGAGAGCGCTATCTTCTGCTTTCTATTCCACAATGCTATTAACAACATGCATACCCTGGAACAACTAAAGAGCACCTAAAAGAAGCTTTATAGAGAGTCATGGGTGGATCTGCCGACTCAAGGCATGTGGTGCAGATCTAGTGAGTCAAATATTCATCAAAGCACAGCTGATGCCAAGCTAATTCCTCCATTTCCAGGTTTGCAGACACAACACAGGGATTTCTAACAGAGATTGCTCCCATTGACAAGCTGCCCATTCTCACAATCTGGTTAGTTAAACAAGCAGGGGAAGGAGGTGTACCCGGTATTTATATTATATACGCACAGGGAACTGGGAAAGAGAAGGAATTATTCCGAATTAGTTAGTCTGGAGCCAAGTGACATCATCGCCTCGGGTGCAATGCTGAAAAACAGAGGGAGACCCCGCCACAAACACCCGCCTGGACGCAGCACCCCCTGATGACCCTGCGACAGCAAACATCAAGCAACAGCCTCGCGGCCGTTGTTTACGTGGAAGTAAATAAATCCCATTGAAGTCACTGGGACTCCCTCCCGAGTATGCATGTAGAGAATCGGGATTGCAACCTTAGCATAGTGATGGGAAGAGATCGTCGGAGGTACATTGACTGAGAGGAAGGGAAGGAGCGGAATGCAAAGGTTTGGTCAGCATGCCTAGTGGGTGGATGCAGGAGGAACGGAGAGACGGGGGTTCCCCAAGCCTCCGGCTGCAAGAAGCCTGCATTGCCCACGGGGATGGGGATACCCCGGTTCCTCCTTACCCCACTCCGGATCCCCCTCGCCTGGCTACGCCTTACCCCCCGCGCGCGCTCCTTACCCTGCTTGCCTTCCACTACGCTGCGCCTTGCAAAAAAAGGGGGGAGAACACCACCCCTCTGGTTCTTGGAGACGCGCCGCTGCCGGCGGGGCGAGGCTCGGCTGTTGATTCCCGTCTCCATAGAGACCCCAGTGACACAGCGCGGGGAGGGAATAGGAAGCGGCGGCGGGGGGGGGGGGCGTGCAAAAGCGAGGAAGAGCCAAGACACCTCCCTCCGGGGAAGAGGGAGGCGCAGGCGCGCTGGGCAGCCCCTCCGCCCGCCCCAACGTGGGCCTGGCGCCAAATGGGCCCTTAGTGCGACGGTGGATGATGCTGAGACCTTGGGATTGCTGCTGCTGCTGCTGCCGCCTCCGGAACATTAGCGGGGAATAAATGGATGGCATCGCGGGGGGGGGGGGCAGCAGGAGAGAGAGATGCTTATGTCATCCTGAAGTTCTCAGCAACCTTTTCCTGCGCGCCCTTCTCTTTCCCCAAAGCTTAGCCCACAAAGACCGCCGCCCCCCGCCTGTGCCAAGACTCTGAGCCCTTGAATTGTAGAGTTGGAAGGGATCCCAAGGGTCATCTAGTCCAACCCCGTGCAATGCAGGAATCTAAACTAAAGCATCCAGGACAGACAGGCACACAACCTCTGCTTGAAATCCTCCAAGGAAGGAGAATTCACCACTTCTTGTGGGAGTCTGTTCCACTGTCAAACAGCTCTTACTGCCAGAAACTTATTCCTCATTTCTTGTAACTTGAATCCATTGGTTTGGGTCTTAGATTCCGGAGCAGGAGAAATCAAGTTTGCTCCATCTTCCATGTGACAGCCCTTTAAGATATTTGAAGATGGCTATCCTATCTCCTCTCAGTCTCCTCTTTACCAGGTGAAACATACCCAACTCCCTCAACCATTCCTCATATGGCTTGGTTTCCAGATTCTTGGTCATCTAACTCAGTGACTGAGTGGCCCTCCAGGGTTTCAGGTGGGAGAGACATTCTCAGGCCTACCTGGCGATGCCTTGGTTTGAACCTGGAAGGCACCTGCATGCTCTGCCACTGAGCTCTTAGGAGCTCTAAGCTCCTCTAAGGAAAGCAAGTGATTGCATGCATATCCTGCCCCCTCCCCCAGCCATTTCGGTGTTTAGAAGTCACAGTGCAGTGGTAGAGCATCTCCTTTGCAGGCAGAAGGTCTGAGGTTTCATCCCAGGTAAGGCTGGGAGAGATCCCTGCTTGAAATCATGAAGAGCCACTACCAGTCCGAGTGGACAAAACTGAGCTAGATAGACCAAAGGTCTGGCTGAGTAGAGGACAGCTTTCTATGACATACAATTAAAGCCCATGGCTTCCAGTGACAGAGCCCCCCCCCCCCCACTGTGACTAGTTGTAAGGGGGCAGGCAGGTGGGGGAAGGTTGAGGACAGGCAATATGCCACGTTTGCCCTGGTAGTGGGTCAGCCTCCATTCGACTTCGATGAGACTTTGACTCATCTGCCATTGTAGGCAAGAGACCTCTTTCAACCCAAGGGCTGCATTCCCCAGTAAGCAACCTCCTAGGTGGGTGGGTGGGTGGGGCCAGACAGCAACGGGTGTGGCTTCTTTGTTCAACAGGTCACATTATAAATTATAATAATAATAATTTATTACTTATACCCTGCCCATCTGGCCTGGCCTCCCCAGCCACTCTGGGTGGCTCCCAACAAAATATTAAAAACACGATAAAACATCAAACATTGAAAACTTCCCTGAACAGGGCTGCCTTCAGATGTCTTCTAAAAGTCAGATAGTTGTTTATTTCTTTGACATCTGATGGGAGGGCATTCCACAGGGCAGGCACCACTACTGAGAAGGCCCTCTACCTGGTTCCCTGTAACCTCACTTCTTGCAGTGAGGGAACCGCCAGAAGGCCTTTGGCGCTGGACCTCAGTGTCCGGGCTGAACAATGGGGGTGGAGATGCTCCTTCAGGACAGACCCTGTGGCAGCAGAAGAGAACAGGGAACTCCAGAGGAACTGGTGGGGTGTTGTTGCTGCTACCCCCTGGGGTGTTTGCTTCACTCTGCTTAATGGTAGGACCAGCTCTCAAAACAAAGACTTTAACAAAAGTTGAAGTACTTTTGAGTCTAAGTACTTCAGCAGCACAAGGCTTTTTACATGTCTAAATGAGTTCGGTGAGATTTATTTCCAGGTAAGTGTGCACAGGATTGCAGCCAAAGAGAAGACGTTTCCATCAACAGGAGATGTTTGTCTTTGGCTCCCACAAAAATGTGTTCTTGTCCCATTACAAATCCCACACAGGCCTATTAAACATACTGCCATCTAGCAAGCAGAAATTAAAAGCACTGTGTTACAGGAGAGAGCACTTTCTTTGAACAGTCAGGATCCACTGATTAGCTGGGCTATTTTTTATCTGTACATCAAGCTTTTAAATGTGTGATTTATGCCATCTTAAATAAAAACATTAGGTGAGTAAGCTATAGATAGTATCCAGGACTGTTTCTATTCCTCAAGTACAGAAAACTTGCTACTGCAGGCAATTCAGAATATGAATAACTTTAGGTTCCTAAACATAACAAAAAGCAGTCTTCCAGTCCTAAAGGTTCTGAAAATTACCTGCACATTTTTCAAGGCTGGAGAACACATCAGAAATGTAGGGGGATTTTGAATAGGATTTCTAGTGTTGCAGTTACCTGATTGGGACTCGGCAGTCAAACCACTGACTATAGCCTGTTCCCCAAACACACTGGGATCCAATTCCCATTTGCCTATGCAGAGCAGAAGTTCCTGTTGCCCCCCACATATAATACAGAGAAAGAAAGCACTAAAAGAGGATGCCTAGTGTTCACCTCTTAAGAGGTTTGCCTTTGCATCCCAGAGAAAGAGAAGCTTGTTCAGAGTAGTAGAGGATCTAAGGGTGTCACACTTATTGTGTGATTTTGGATTTTGCAAAGAAAAATAATGGGGTACAACTAGAACTGAGAGAAGCAAAAGAAGGAAGATTTTGGCCTCCAAGTGGTTCTAAAAATCAAACGGTGGGCTTGTAAAATACCAAGAAACATACTCCAGTGCATTTGGTTCAAAACTACCTTCAAGGGCACTGATTGCAAGTTAGGTTCTCTTCTCAAGCCAATACGATCTTTATTTTCAATCAGTGTTCCTGAAGAAGGTTGTTTTCAATAAAAACACATTTTCTTTTCCCCCCTTTTTTTACAAATACTGCCTTTTATAATGGTCACTTCCATACAACCTGTTTATTGAACTTTCATCTTGATTTGTTTGTGGAAAATTAGATGAAGTTGTGTCAAGCAAGTGTTATCCACACTTTTCATTGCATTTTCCTATACTTTCCTTATTGCAAAAAGCACAATATTTGGGGGGAAGTGGGCTTGTTTCACAAGAGCTCCAAATCAGCTCTAATTAAGCAGCCTGGGGGGGTGTGTATAACGGGGTCACCAACCAGCACCCTCAGGTGCTATAGCACCCATGAAGTGTGTTGTATGTGTGATCTCCATAATCAGGACCGGCAGGACATAGCTGATTTCCCATGGTAAGCACAAGGTTGTCAAGAGGTAGCTGTTGCCCTTTTAAAGCCATCCAGTTTGTTGGCCATTACTGCCTCTTTGTTGGCCATCACTGCAAGTTCCATAGTTTTAAATGTAAAGATGTGCTTTCTTTTTGTCTCTCCTGAATCTTCCAACATTGGAAGTCCCTGAATTCTAGTACAGTGGTACCTTGGTTCTCAAACAAAATCCATTCCAGAAGCCCATTCATCTTCCAAAACATTTGAAAACCAAGGCACAGCTTCCCATTGCTTGCAAGAGCTTCTTGCACTCAGTGGAAGCTGAGGTTCAGGTTCCAAAAAAAGTTTGAAGCATTTACTTACGGGTTTTTGGTGTTCAAGAAACAAAACGTACGACAACAGAGGCATTTGGGAACCGAGGTTCCACTGTATTATGAGAGAGAGATCTGGTTGACCCGTGTGGGAGCAGGATGCTGGCCTGATGGGCCTTTGGTCTGATCCAGTTGGGCTCTTTTGCAATGCAGTTTGAAGACTAAGGGAGGGGCCTAGTTGAAAATAGCACAGACGGTTCTCACACTGCAAAGCTCAGATGAGCTGAGAAAGCGAACAGAAGTCAAAGGCTGCACACTGCCATTGCCATGGCTGGTTGACCACTGGGAGTGGTGGCCTGGCCTGGTTTCCAAAACCATGTGAGAGTTTTAACAGCTTCTATCCTACCCACGGAAACACCCTAACTGAAGTCAAGGCTGCAGCTAAGTTCGCAAGGGGCTGTGCTTAGGTGTTATGCCTCTGGCTACCCATTGTGTAACTGTTTTGTTTAGGGCAGGACACCGTTGTTAGGCAAAACCTGCACGACAATCAGCAACTGAGGCTGAGGCAGAGGGAGATGAGGACACAGACCTCTCCATCAGGTCAGCTAGGACCAATGGAGGCTGTTCCATTTGGGCAAATGGGGCTCTGCGCTTAGTCTGCCTCCACCTGCCTGCCTGTCTGCCTTTACACTTGCATCTAGTCCAGGGGGTGGCCCAGCCTATCAGCTTCCTCTTCCTCAGTGTTTCCCCCTGTAGAACTCAACAGGGAGGTGGATGGGGACAAAACTAGAAAGAGCTGGCTCTGCTTAACCTTGGCACTGACTTCACCTGCTGTTAGGCTCCCTGTCTCCTGACCCACTAGTCCAAATGGTGACCAACCACCAATCGATAGGACTTATTACCATTTGGCTGCTCACTTAGAACTGTCTGCTCCTGGGCCGTTTGACCAAGTCATTCTGCAAGTAGAACATTTTTGGGTACCTGAATGTTCTGGTTTTCCTCTTCCCTCCTCACCCTCTATTTCTCTTCTGCTGTTGTGAACCTGAGGGCAGGGCATGTGTCATAATTTGCTCTTTCTGTCTGGAAAAAATGATTGTGCCTGGCAAACTTTTATGTTTCTCCTTCACAAACAACCTAATAAAGGAGTGCAGCACGTTTTATAGCCGTTCCCTTCTAAATGAGCACCCAAGAACCAGAGGACTGGAACACTGACCAGAGGCGTTGGGAGTCTTTGTGATAGTGGCTGATGTCAGCAAGGAACAAAATGCACATTGGCTCATTCTTCTGTTCCCACAGTCAGGCAGAGGCTGAGCTGATGTGGCCAGAACTCCCAGTTCTGTGACCTCCTCAATTCCAGCTAATGGGATTCAGCTCAAGCTTCAAGTCTGATGGTGTCGCATGAAGGCAGCTGAACAATTCCCAA